GATCCGGTGACGAATCCCAAACCGGCGCCCTCGCCTGAGACATCCTCACAAAACGGGCCTCGGGGGGGATGCCCAGAGGAGCCCAGAGCGGCCTCCGGCACCGTTTCCGGACGGATCCGCTGGATCCGCTGGATCCGCTGGATCCGCTGGATCCGGTGACGAATCCCGAACCGGCGCCCTCGCCTGAGACATCCTCACAAAACGGGCCCCGGGGGGGATGCCCAGAGGAGCCCAGAGCGGCCTCCGGCACCGTTTCCGGACGGATCCGCTGGATCCGCTGGATCCGCTGGATCCGCTGGATCCGGTGACGAATCCCAAACCGGCGCCCTCGCCTGAGACATCCTCACCAAACGGGCCCCGGGGGGGATGCCCAGAGGAGCCCAGAGCGGCCTCCGGCACCGTTTCCGGACGGATCCGCTGGATCCGCTGGATCCGGTGACGAATCCCAAACCGGCGCCCTCGCCTGAGACATCCTCACAAAACGGGCCCTGGGGGGGATGCCCAGAGGAGCCCAGAGCGGCCTCCGGCACCGTTTCCGGACGGATCCGCTGGATCCGCTGGATCCGGTGACGAATCCCATACCGGCGCCCTCGCCTGAGACATCCTCACAAAACGGGCCCCGGGGGGGATGCCCAGAGGAGCCCAGAGCGGCCTCCGGCACCGTTTCCGGACGGATCCGCTGGATCCGCTGGATCCGCTGGATCCGGTGACGAATCCCCAACCGGCGCCCTCGCCTGAGACATCCTCACAAAACGGGCCCCGGGGGGGATGCCCAGAGGAGCCCAGAGCGGCCTCCGGCACCGTTTCCGGACGGATCCGCTGGATCCGCTGGATCCGCTGGATCCGGTGACGAATCCCAATCCGGCGCCCTCGCCTGAGACATCCTCACAAAACGGGCCCCGGGGGGGATGCCCAGAGGAGCCCAGAGCGGCCTCCGGCACCGTTTCCGGACGGATCCGCTGGATCCGCTGGATCCGCTGGATCCGGTGACGAATCCCAAACCGGCGCCCTCGCCTGAGACATCCTCACTAAACGGGCCCCGGGGGGGATGCCCAGAGGAGCCCAGAGCGGCCTCCGGCACCGTTTCCGGACGGATCCGCTGGTGGATCCGGTGACGAATCCCAAACCGGCGCCCTCGCCTGAGACATCCTCACAAAACGGGCCCCGGGGGGGATGCCCAGAGGAGCCCAGAGCGGCCTCCGGCACCGTTTCCGGACGGATCAGCTGGATCCGCTGGATCCGCTGGATCCGGTGACGAATCCCAAACCGGCGCCCTCGCCTGAGACATCCTCACAAAACGGGCCCCGGGGGGGATGCCCAGAGGAGCCCAGAGCGGCCTCCGGCACCGTTTCCAGACGGACGACCTGACTGCATAACACGCCTGGATATGCCGACGGGGGCGAAGGAGGAGGAGGAGAAGGAGGAGGAGGAGGAGGAGGAGGAGGAGGAGGAGGAGGAGGAGGGGGAGGGGGAGGGGGCAGGCGAGGGAGCCCCGGCCCTGGGGGAGGGGCCCTGAGGGAGCCCTGATGGGCTTCCGGCACCATGGAGAGGTCCTGTGGGGCGGCCGCCCCTTCTTCTCTCGGTCGTTTCCCTCTCGCCCAGAAGCGCGCGCCCTTTCTTCTATATATACAGAAACTCCCGATCAACCGCAGAGCGGCGGATGTTAATGGATGATGATGATGATGATGATGGTGATGATGATGATGATGTGGATGATGATGTGATGATGATGTAGGAGATGATGATGATGATGGGGATGAGGTGGGAGGGAGGAGGTAGAGGTGGAGGGAGGAGGAGGTGGAGGAGGAGGAGGAGGAGGAGGAGGAGAGGAGGAGGAGATGGAGGAGGTGGGAGGAGGAGGAGGAGGAGGAGATGGAGGAGGAGGAGGAGGAGGAGGAGGAGGAGGATGGAGGAGGAAATGGACAGAGGAAACGGAGGAAAGGAGGAAATGAGGAGGACGAGGAGCAGGAGGATGAGGAGGAGGTATGAGGAGGAAGAGGAGGAGGAGGGATAGAGGAGGGAAAAGGAGAGGAGGAGGAGAGGAGGAGGAGGAGGAGGAGGTGGAGGAGGGGGGAGTTGGGAGGAGGAGGAGGAGGAAGGAGGAGGAGAAATAGGAGGAAGGAGGGGGAGGAGGAGGTGTGCCTCGGACTCCTTCGTCCCGAGCCGTCTCTGGATGGCTCGGGTGGCCCGCGGGGGGCTCCGGGGGCCCGAGAACGGCGGAGTACAGCCGACGTGCTCCGACTGGCTCCTTCCCGCTCCGCGCTGCTCCCCGCCCTTCTCCCTGTTTGATCCTGCTTGCCCCAGCTCCGGAGGAGTGCGTGGAGCTGCAGAAGCGCATCCACAAGTGAGCCCCCAGCGGCGGCGACGACGGCGACGGCGGCGACGATGACAATGACGGAAACAAGGGGCGACGACCGCGGCGGGTAGTAGTAGTAGTAGTAGTAGTAGTAGTAGTAGTAGTAGTAGTAGTAGTAGTAGTAGTGGTAGTCGTAGTAGTCGT